GTGGTTGAAGTACCTATATAGCTGCCCATTTTCTTTTATATATTCTGAGAACTTAGATGGCTCTTCGGCGATCCTGACACGCATACTCGCGATCCATTTGCATGAGGCCCCACGGCCTGCTGACAGGTCTCTAGAGGGTGCCTTAATAATGCATCATCACCACGACGAGCTTGAGCTTCCCTCGTCGATGGTGGACATCAAACTGGAACTGTTCCAGTTCCAATGCCCATCGCGCGACTCTTCCTGAAGCGCTCTCAATCGAGTTGAGTCACTTGAGTGGCAGATGATACGTTATCACGTCGAAACAATAGGGACCAACGCAAGTTCCGGAACGACCACATGATTGCCAGGCACTCTTTCTCGGTGGCGGAATAGTTAACCTAAGTTTTCAGCAATTTCCGACTCGCATACGCTATTTACCGCTCTTGTACCTCTATGGTCTTTATCAACACTGCACCTAGGTCATACTCACGCGCGTCAGTCTGCAAGACAACACAGGGGCAGTCGTCAAGCTTTCCTTCAATAGACACAATGCCTCCTCCTGTTTCTCACCCCATGACCATTTTCGCGCCTTCTTTAATAGCGCCATTAAGGTTGCACCGAAGAAGCGAAGTTGGGCAAGTAACGCCAGCACCATGCGCTACCTGTACCCATGGCCACCTGACACACTGACTTATTTCCCGAGTGTTCCGCCCACTGCCTCATAACCGTTTCATACTCCACAGCCATCTGCGCTAGCTAGAACAAAGTTGAGAAACCTTACCGTCAACTCCTGCAATTCCTGCGCCGGCTCATGTTTGCCGTGATGCATTAGAGCCTTCAGTTTTATTAGGTGTTTCTTCCTCCCCCACACGCCGGCGGGCAGCGTTTTTTTTTTTAGAATTGAATTCTCTATTAAAGGAATTCAAATAATGAACGACCCATGCATATATACTACCTACCTTTAGATTGTATTTTGCCCATTCAGACGAACTTTCGCTTATTCCCCGTGTCTGGGTGTGTTTTGCATTCGCTGCCAGTAATACGTTGATCGATGTAGAAAACAATCTGATGCCGCATGTGCGGCTATAAATAAAACAGCCGCGCGTCAGCAACCATGTTGTTTCCAGCGCTTACATGCACCAGCTGTCAAAATACAATCTGCTTGAAATCAGTAACGATTGGCAAAAGTAGGTCACAGATAAGCTAATTTTCAGTTTGAGTTAAACAATAAGTTCATTCGAACTTAAAAAAAACTCATATCTCTTATAACATAGTTACTTCGCACAAGTTAGGAAAATCCGAAAAATGCTTAACTGGCCCCTAACTCGAACAAATTATTCTTACATAAAACAAAATCAACTAAATAAAAATATACCCGCCAGTCCGGCGATTAACTTTTAAGGAAACACTCAGTAGAAAAAACAAAATATTTTTCCTAATTTTAACTTTATACGGGTGTTTGCCATCGAAAACTCACACGTTTTTACAATGATTGATACACTTATGAGTAATAGTGAATAAAACTAATTATTCGGACAATCTTTTTGATATTATATTTGGTAAACATCTAAACTAGCAGTTTGTCAAAAGATGGCGTTATCAGGCCAACTAGGCCACCTTAAATGTTTTAGAAAAACTTTATGGAGCCTATAAAGAGGTTTCAAGAGAAAAGTCTTATTTTTGTAAGAAATAAATAAGATAAGCTTTTATTACATTTTTATATATCTGATTACTCTGACCTGGGCTTTCGACACTGCTTCTCCTCGGAACAAGCCAAGCCGACTGCTTACTCAAATTCGGAATGGGCGGAAACGCCATTATCCGGTCAGATTTTAAATGTCTCAAGATTACGTACGACTTTACTCAACAGTCAATTAGGGCTCGAACGCGCGACAGACAGCAATACATGCTAAGCCTCTACTGAACAGCCACACCAATAATTAAGTATTATTTAGGAAAAAAAACGAACTGAAATAGCATTACAGAAAAAAGTCGCAATTACTATGGTGTTGGAATGTGATAGAATGCGAAGCAGTCGCGCATTAATGTGTGTGTGTACATGCATACACAAATTCTTGATGTTTTTGCTAGCTGTGCCATCCAATTGCGTAATTATATATAACTGTGGTTTTCTCTTAACCAATCTTAATGAAATTTTCTACAGTATATCTTATTGTACCATTGAATATTTGCGTACTCTCGAAATGTCAATTGCATTAAAATTGTGGCTTAAATTGGTGGGCACTATAAGTTTGGTTAATAACTTGATTTATAGCTCTAGGGTGGTAGCGGGGAGGTGGCGATAAGTAAAATGAAAGATACTTGATATATATAATATTCTAGAAGCAACATATCAAGTTTGGTGACTCTAGTTCTTATTATTTACCCAATTTGCTCAAAAAACATTATTTTTATACAGATTTTTATCGATTGCTTGGAAACGGAGTAAGTTATCAATTATCGGAAACAAACTCGATCTGCACATGGACTAGGACAACTTACATCTAAAATTTCAGTCTCTAGCTCTTATAGGTTCTTTATGTTCTTTCTTTGTGTTTCTTTGCGTTAATACATACTGACAGAAGGATGGACGGACAGACAAACGGACATGGCTAGATCGACTCTGCTATCGATGCTGATCAATAATATATATACTTTATGGGGTCGGAGATGCTTCCGTCTACTTGTTATATACATTTGCACAGGGTATAAAAAAAGCGTGGAAAGATTAATATTTCAAGTTCGAATTTGCAGCAGTTGTCCAAATCAGTTGACCTGTTCAACATGGATTTGTAAAGAAACGATCAACTAAGGCTAACCTGCTTAAATTTAATTGCTTGATTAGTGATGTTTTCCTTTCTAAAAAACTGATGTCATCTACACTGACTTCAGTCAGACGTTTGACGCTGTGCTTCATGATATTTTAGTCCTAAAACTTGACCGTTAAGGTTTCCTTTTATCTCTTTAGCTTTGGATTTGTTCCTGTTTAAAAGGTTTACCCAAAAAAAAATGCTGAGACTGAATACCTCAAAATAGTTTCACGTTATTTCTAGTGTTCCTCAAGGTATATATCTTGTACCTTTGTTTTTTTTTTATAAACGACCTTTCCTCTGATTCATTTCATATGAGTGACCAAAAGTATTCATGGATTAATTAAGCGTTGATCTAAGAAGATAAGCGATCCTTTTATAATCAAACTTCTGCACATTCGCTTGTACGGTCTATCATTAAATACTGCTTATGTGTCTGCGTCTCCGCTGTATAATTTTAGCCAGGATCGTATTGAATCATTTTAGAAGCAACCCCCCAATCGCAACAATCCACATCTTCGGTTGCCAGCGTCGTCCAGCAGACTTTTTTCTTGATATTCCGTCGTTAACAAGGACATATTGATTATTCCCCCTACGCATACAAGGGCATATGTTACTAGGCAGGCTGTAAATTTCCCTCATCGGGTCCACTTATACTCTATATTCTAGTTCAAATTTCTTTAATTTTTTAACCGCTTTTGTATCTAATTTTTCCTATTTCTTGTATATTCCATGAGTATTTTCTAAATATTTCCTGCTAAGGTATAGACTTTAATAACGTGACGACAATGCTTCTTGATCAAGGTTATGAGTACTCACAGAAGTGGATTATAAATGTTGTACGCTTTAAACTCTGCTTGATCAGCTTCAAACTTATCAAGCCACAATATAAAAATTATTTAATAAATGCGTGTTTCAGCGATTTAAAAAAATGTTGAACTTCTTAAGGATCTTTGTGATATTTGAGTTTATACTTTTTCACAAAGTTTACCGCTCTTGGAAGGAAAATGTGGGTTAAAGGTTTAATAAACGAAAACTTATTTTTGGGCTTGAAGACTCTCACCACAAGACTGACATGAACGGAAACCGTTGATTCCAATATTTGATTCTTTATTTCCCCTTTAATAGTTTTTTATATGGAAGTGATTCCAACATTGATCAAGATGGGACGGGTAGAATTTGCATGGGCGTATATTTGGGGATAGGTAATATATAAAAATTGTGGCACAAAATGTTCCACGAGCAAAAGTCTTTTATTTGAAAGTCTTATTATTATTATTATTATTATTATTATTATTATTATTATTATTATTATTATTATTATATTATTATTATTATTATTATTATTATTATTATTATTATTATATATTATATTATTGATTATTATTATTATTCTTATTATTATTATTATTATTATTATTATTATTATTATTATTATTATTATTATTATTATTATTATTATTATTATTATTATTATTATTATTATTATTATTATTATTATTTATTATTATATTATTATTATTATTATATTATTATTATTATATTATTATTATTATTATATATTATTATTATTATTATTATTATTATTATTATTATTTTTATTCTTATTATTATTATTATATTATTATTATTATTATTATTATTATTATTATTATTATTATTATTATTTTAGTATTATTATATTATTATTATATTATTATTATTATTATTATTATTATTATTATTATATTATTATTATTATTATTATTATTATTATTATTATTATTATTATTATATTATTATTATTATTATTATTATTATTATTATTATTATTATTATTATTATTATTATTATTATTATTATTATTATTATTATTATTATTATTATTATTATTATTATTATTATTATTATTATTATTATTATTATTATTATTATTATTAATATTATTATTATTGTTATTATTATTATTATTATTATTATTATTATTATTGGTATTTTTAAATTAATAGAGTAAATTATTAGCACAGGGAAAAAGATAATAAAAAGTCGCCATTTATTAAGGACTAAAAATCAACACAAGAAAGTTTATTGAAGTACTAGTTACTTCTTCCTACAATTATAGTGATGCCAACTATATAATTTAACTTTTACTTTACAATATTATGTATATATAACGTTTGAAAACTTATAATTCAATAACAAAATGTTCGTATGCCTCTTTATTTTTAGCTTTAAGAATCAAAAGGAAATTCTGGAAAGCAGTGATAGAATTCAAATTATTAGAGATAAGGATTATTTGGGATTCTACGAATTAGTTATCGTAGATGTTCAGAAGGATGATGCTGGAATATACTCCTGCAAGGCAACCAACAAGTTTGGTGAAGCCTCGTGTGAAGCTCAAGCAACTACAGTGGGTAAGTAATCCCTAAAAAAATGCAAAACAATATTGTTTTGTTTGAATGCTTCAAGATGTATTATTTAATTTCAAGGAGCAGTAGACTATTTTATGACCTTCCAGTTGTTCCACCACACTGCTCCCATACACTTTTGGCAATTTAATGTTGTTTTTTGTCCGGTTCCCATGAAGTTTTGAGTTTATACACATTAGGTATCTTACAGATACCTCACAAACAATAGAAACTTGTTTTGGTTATAGTATAGGAGAATATATATTATTGCAATTTCTCCAGATCGATGCATTCATATTGACAATTTTTTTTTCCGATCGAATTTCTTTGATGCAAATTATTGTTTTTTCATAATACAAATTTTGTTGTTCCCAGTATTCGCCCGCTAGAAAATCATGTTTGAAATTATCCAACAACCTTTCCTCATTGATGATGATGACATCGTCGTCGGATACTGTGAGTTACTCGAGATGCCTAGACCGAGTGGCACAGTAGTTTTTGTTCGCACGTAAACACGTTAACATTAAGCTGCTGTGAGTGTAGAGCTGCAGTTCCTAATTGGTAATATTTCATTACCGCAGCAGTCTATTATCATTTCGACGGTTGAAGATGGTGTTATTATTTTGCACAGGGTATAAAAGTATGTTCTTAAATAATAAACTTGGCTGTAAAAAGTAAATTAAACAAGTAAGAGGTTCTAGTCGGGAGCTCCCGAATAGGGGATACCCTGAACCCTCTTCTTCCATCATTAAATGCATATATATATATTCTATTTTAGAAGCTATATGTCAAGTTTGGTGACTGTAGCTCTTATTATTTACCAAAATTGCCCAAAAAACAGAATATCGATATTTTTCGATTGCTTGAAAACGGAGTACCGATTATCGGAAACAAACTATTTACACAGGCATTATGAGCACCTACATCTAAAATTTCAAGTCTCTAGCTCTTATAGGTTCTGAGATCCTTGCGGGAGCTCCCGACTAGAACCGCTTACTTGTTTTAATTCAATGAACTCGTGTTGTGTAATTTGTAGATTTTCAAAGTCATCAAAGTGTCTGGAGTCCCAGCTTCTATCTTTAAAACGATGCATAATATATCGCTAGCCTGTCGAAGGTGGATATTCATTGCTGCCAGGTCTGTTTTCATATATCATTTGTCCAAGTCCTGTATCTGTGTCATATGTGATTGCCGAAAGTTCTTCTTCAACTCCTATGTTTCCCATGTCCTTTTCGAGGACATTAACAAGTAAGTCGGGAGTTTTGATAAGCTTTCCAAATTGTTTTGTCTATTCATAACCGGGATGTACTATAGACCGCGTTTAATTAAATTAGACCGTTGTCATTTTGACAAGAAGTATCATAGTCCAGATCATAGTTTGTAAGGTTTCAAACTTTTCCAAAAATACATTCCTCCTTGGCGGAGATGGGGGTCAAACATTTGGTAGGTAACGTGCTCGTGCTCAAATTTATTTCCAAACATACCTATACGAACCGACAGGTTTGAATAGACAGGTTTCACGAAAAGACAGGTTCACACTTTTCGAAAAATCCAAGCTTCCTCGGTGGAAAATGCGATACAACCACTTCTGTTGTTAGGCTAGAAGTTTTTTCCGATTTGCATCAAACTAATTTTCAAAGCTCTTCACAAGAACTTTGTAATTTGGGAAATTCTGCCCACAGTGGTTAATTAGCTAAAAACGTATGTATGAAAGTTTTTTGCTTACCATCTGATCGGTTTCAAAATCACTTTTGAATAGATTTGTCAAAATTCTCTCGGACTTCTTGGAAAATCTATCCTTTAAGACGGGCTTCACACTTTTTTCCAGAATCCAAGGACCCTTGGTAAAAATTAGACTCAAAGATATCTTGTGATTGTTGTCGAATTTGCATCAAATCTATTTTGGGAAATTCCACCCATAAAAGTGGTTGGATCTTAATTCGATACACTAAAAACATATTGTTAAATAAGAGATGTGTAGATTTCAAATTCCCATGGGTGTGTACGAAGTTGAAAGGCAATATCTTTTTTAGTACGAAGCGTTCCAAGGGCAAGGCCAGCAACATGCTAGTATATAATAAATATACTTGTTTCCCAATCTCTTGTTTGATCTTACAAGGATTTCATCTCCAACTTGGAAATATCTGTTTATCTTATCTTCATTTAACTTGTTTATTTGAGTATTCTGTGATATAATAACTTTAATTTTTTGATACAGTGTCGAGCTCTGAGAGAGATGAATGGGTTATTGAATAGGTTGTGTGCTTGTAACTGGGTGAATTGACCTGTTGTATTCTATGGTTGCCTTGTTAGACTGTGGCGTTGATATATCTTTCGGCTTTCTGTTCATTCTTGTTTAAAATATCGGTTAATGTGCGTTTTGTCAGGCATCATTTTGAGGTGATTGGCGTTTATCACATTGTATTCTTGACCTTTTTGACAACGTCGACAAATGTTAACAGTTTGGTCCAAGGCAGCTCTACCTTATATTAGTTTTTGGGCTTGAAAGAGTTGACCGGGCTTTCTGTTGATTCGACAGTGTATGTGAATACTAACTCTCTAGATATCGAAGCAATACCGGATGGAAAATCATCTTCTAAAGCATGAACGTATTACGTAACATTACCTCAGCTTAGAGATTTTCTTTCCTTGGTCTGTAAAATATTTGAGCATTGTGCTCCTCACCGCTTAATTTTTACAGTGGAACTGCGATTAGAGACGCCCAATGTTAGGGACTGATGGTCTGTAAAAATATTTAAATTATACACTTTGTTTAGTAAATTTTGAGTTTTGTTAAGCGACTCACTTTTTCAGAAAAATATAATACTGCTCCTAAGCCAATGAAAGAAGTATCTATTGTTAAATAAAACGCCATATTATAGTCGTTTAGTCATTTTTGCTGTTTTCAAAATATTACTTAAAGGTTTTCTCATTAATATGACTTGTTTAATAAAGCATTGTCAATCCAAGCAATGTCCGGACGTAGAGATATATGCACAGTATGTTCATAGTTACGAATAGCTTCTTGTCAGGGCATGTAGTATTGCCTCCGCGTGGATCCACTTAAATTCGACACTATCTTTGAAAAAATTGGATGTATGCCCTCGTACAGCTTATCCAACACGATTTGGTGCTTCGTATTTCCCATAACCTTTAAAAAGTGTTACTTTTTGCTATATTACTGAGTAGGACTTGACCTGACTTGACTTTGACTCGCAATTTTGCGATGCGTACAACCACAACAAGAGTTTTTTAAATGCTTTTTTGTCAAAACAGACGCAAGAAAAATAAAACTGTCATTTTGACGCCAGAGAAAGAAACAGAATTGTCAAAGTTACACAGAAAAACTGATTGGTATTCTGTATTCATAGAATTGCGTGGGATCACAATTCAAACCAAACACCATTTGCGAAATACAAACATTATTTGATTATTTGAAAGCTTAATATGTCTATTTTTATTACCAGCGGCGGCACTTGAAATTCCATGCATGTCTGATCGAACAGTATAGTTGACCAATTCATTATGGTCATTCATAATTGGACACATTCGTAAAATTCCCCACTTCTACTTCTTTTATCAATTTATATGCCTGATGCAAGCTAACAGAGGGAGCAATTGAGATCTTTCAAGGGTTAGATGCATTTGAGCAGGATTGAAGCGCCAGTTGGCTAGTTTATTTGGTTGTTGGAAAAAAATGATCGCAAGTCACGACGCAAGTTGACGGACACAAGTCAACAAATGAGAATGGCGGGAGGAATTTTACCTGTGCAAAACGCATCAGCCGAAAAGGTTACGAAATTCACCCCCACCTTAGTCAAAACTGATCTGAGTCTTCTAACAAAATATATAATATGATTGCTCGCACTTTTAATTGAATTATCTGGGAGCCCTTTCGTGAAAGGTAAATCTATATATATTAATTACCTCAAGTCCGGTCCATGTATATCTTTTCCTATCAAGCTATCCTTCAATTGACGCAATGCCTCCACCTGTCCATCAGGAGCGCCGTTAGCGGCTGTACCTGAGTCCCGAAGTTGGGCCCGTACCATAAAGCCAACCTGAAACATTGCCTCAACTCTTTACAATTAGTCGGGGCCCTTAGACTACTTATCCACCTCAAACTTATCCGGATCCGAACGTAGGCCTTCCAGCCCTTCCAGATAGACTAGCTTCACCCTGAAGAAGCTGTAGTTCATCCTGTTTAGCCTGCGGTTGGCCACCCTCAACCGGCAAATTACCTCCCTCAAATCCTCTATGAGTTGCTACTTTGTCGCCGGTATTACCACGATATCGTCTAGATAGGTGAACCCATGAAGCTCATCTCCTGCCCTGGCTGCATAAGCTGAGTGTAGACCAAACGGGATCACCCGCGATTGGAATAGGCCCCTCCCTGGGACCGTGAATGCCCTGCAACTTCTATCGGCTGCCATCGGTATCTGCATTGGCAGATTGTGCTTCAAATCTTGGGTAGAATAATTAATCCGGGGGACAGGTTAAGCATCTGCAATGGATTGCGCTACCCCGCCCTCTGCCTCATGAGCACCTCCACCTCTACAGCCAACTGCGTTAGCTGGAATAAGGTGAAGTATTCTTGCCATTCGGTGCAACTCCTGTGCCGGCTCAAATCTGGGGTATTGCAATAAAGCCCTCTGCTCTATCAAGTATTCTTTAAATTCTTTTTGCACACACTGCGGGCGGGACTGGACTTTGTCGACAAGCCTTTCAAAATGGCGCGGTGGCAGTAAGAATTCCAAGAAACCGCTCGTTAACACTGACCTTGGCCAATCCCTCAGCCAATTACGCAAAAGCCAACAAGCGGCCCACTCCTCCAGGTCCTTTAGCAATCTAAGGGTGTCGGATCGGCCGCCATACCTCATACCCTACTTTCGGACTTGTTCCGGAACTTTTAAAAGTGGCCCCCGACTGAGGATTATCTCGGCGTGAATCCCCCTGTTCGACGGGCTCCATCCCTTCGGATGTAAGCTAGGGATCGGAGTCAGTGACGCCGCTCTCCGCCAACGTCAGGTGGGAAGCTCCACGACTGCTTTAATGTTTAGGCATATTGACACTCTATCTCAGCAAGCTGCGCCGGAATTTCAGGGGAATGACCGCCATTTAAAATGGATATGAAGGGTAAATTGTTTTTATGCAAATGTGTGTAACAGGGAGAGGGAAGCATCTCCGACCTCTTGCTCAGCATCAATAGCCAAGTCGGCCTAACCCCGTCCGTTTGTCCGTCCGTCCGTCTGAATAAACGCAAGGATCTCAGAACCTCGAAGTGCTAGAAACGTTAAATTTGTTATTTAGGTCCTCCTATTGTCCGCGCAGTACGAGTTTATCTCCGATAATCGGAAACTTTACCGTTCTCAAGTCATCGATCAAAATCGATATCGAAATCCTTTTTTTTTTTAGCAAATTTGCTTAATAATAAGAGCTAGCGCCACCAAACATGTATCTTTTAAAATAGTATATATATATCGAGTATTTTTAATTTGATAGATATCGCCACCTCCTCACCACAAAACTATAAAATATGTTATTAAGCAAACTTGTATTGCCCACCAATTTAAGCCACAATTCGAATGCAATTAACTTTTGAGAATGCATAAATATTAGATAGCACATCTTATTGTACTAAAGAAGTTTTATTAAAATCAGTTAAGAAAAACAACGGTTATTAAAGAAGATTTGTTTTATAGCTGGCTCGAGTTTCGAATGCATTGCAAATGCGATGCTTTTTCTCATTAAGATTCCATGCTTGGCGTGAGTAGATGCGTTTGCTATCAGTGTGGTCTGTTTTCTTTCTAAATTTATTTTTATTATTACTGAAGCAAAGGAGCGCACAACGCGAGCTGCATTTTGTGGTGGAAGATGAGGGTTCAGGGTGTTCACTAGTCGGGAGCTCCCGTCTAGAGCTTCCTACTTGTTTTTTGAATAATATTCTTATAACATTTTATTTTCTTTTTAGAATATAAAAACCCATTTGGAGCTTTAAGTGGTCAAATTTTACAGTCTGGAGAAAAATCAATTTTTTCATGGAAACGCAACGGACAAGATTTTGATCCAGAGGAACGATTTAAAGTTCTCTTTGGCGAAGATGAGGATTCTCTAGCTTTAGTATTTCAGCATGTCAAGCCTGAAGATGCTGGAATATATACGTGCGTTGCACAAACTTCAACTGGAAATATTTCCTGCAGTGCAGAGCTATCTGTTCAGGGTGCCATTCAAACTTTAAATAGAGAACCTGAAAAGCCTTCCCTAGTAATTGAATATAGAGAAGCAAACACAAGTTTGGGAGCGTCGGCCATTCTCGAACTGCAATGCAAAGGTTTCCCCAAACCAGCAGTGCTTTGGAAACATGAAGGTGAAATCATTGAAGTTGACGAAAGACATAAATTTATGTTTGAAGACGAAGAAAGCATGTCATTGGTTATAAAAAGTGTAAATACTGAGGATGCTGGAGAATATACTATTGAAGCTGTAAACGAGCTCGGACAGGATACGGCATCTATTAATTTAACCGTGCAAGGTAAATCTTAAAGATTTAATCACAAAATCATTTTTATTATCATTATCATTATCATTATCATTAAGTAGAGAGATTGAAAGTGCCAAACTTGGAAGCATGGTACACGTATTGCCGAGCTGCTTACAATAATGCAAAGTTATTTTACATTCCATTCAACTTATTTTTGGTCTTCATATTACATAAGAAAATATGTATTTATTAAGACAGATATACTACAACAAAGAAGCTACCTTTTACCTACCAAATACCTTTGTGCAAAACTATTATCCCTCTATTTACATTTTTTATGGATACTAGCTGCACATAGCAACAAATAAGAGTCATCTTGTGTGAAATGCCCGACTAAAGGATGCCCATTTGCTACCAACATTAATTGGTTTTTGCTCTATGAACTATTTGGACTAAGCAAAAATACACATTTTATTTACATATATTTACATATATACAGTTTATTTTATAGTGCTTTAAAATATTCGTATATTCTTAAATAATTAATTGCATTCGAATTGTGGTTTAAATTGTTAGGAAGTTCCACTAAAGGGGTTGGCCAAGTCGTTGAAAATTGCTAAAAGGGTACCTAAGCGTTGTATAGAGAAATTTTTTGCACTTGTGTGCCTGTTGGTGGCCTGCCTGCCTGTCCCTCGCAAATTTGACAAGATTTGAAGTTTTTGTGATTTGGGTATTTCGGGCGCTAAAAACACACACACACACATCCAAATATGTGTGAATGGGCAGATCATGGGTGCAAAAGAAAATTCATTATTGGCATGCGTGTTGATTGAATAAATTAAATGAAAAGGCTTATATGATCAGTCAATAAAACTATGAACATTATTAATATACATGCAGATGCAGGTCCTTGCTAAAAGTTGACCCTTTCCGCCAAACGGTAATAAGGAGTCAACATTCATTCATTAATTCTCAACTGAAGTCATAAAAAGATGGGTGCGCTTCAGACGCATGCCAATTTTGCACATGATCAGGCCAAACTCTTTAATAATATGACACAGCTGCTTACTCGAAAGAGTGTGCGTGTGCACAAGCAGCTAATACGACTTAGATATTTTTGTATTTTAAGCAAAATAGGTGCCTACAGTAAACAGAAAATTAATATAAATATAAATATATATAAAAATTAAATCAAATTCTTTTCATTATACCTGTTTCGATAAAAAGATCCATTTGGTATATCTATACATTGTATGGCTGGTGCTGTAGCTCTTTAAACTTACGATATTTGCTCAAACAACGATTTCGAAATCGATTTTAATGGATTGCTTGAATACGGGACAACCAAAATCGTATTGCACGGATCTACGTTCAATATTTCAAGTCTCTACCGCCTTAAGTTTTTGAGATGCTTTTAAAAAACATACAGAGAGGTGGACAGAAATACATTTGGACAAAAACATTATACCCATTTACAAAAACAAGTTAATAATACAATTATACAAGAAATCCTAAGCCTCAACATACCCAACAACAAGAAATACTAGAGTATCAGCACTTTCAGAATAAAAATAAAATAAATAAAAACTAAATAATATTTTCTAATAGAAGCCCCTTGACATACTAATTCATATGAATTTTCAAACAATCCCGTTACAATTCAGTTTTCATATTTTGCCTCTTACTTTGCCTATGAATAAATTATCTTAGCATTTTCTGAAGAAATTTTGCGCGTGTGTTGAACTTTGTAGACAAACAAAAAAGCCAGGGAAGAGAACATTTTTTGATATTGCACAGTTGGTTTCCTAGAACCACCACATCGCCAAAAGTGTGATGGAGTTATCCGAGATGTTTTCGTTGTCCAAACAAACCATTTTCAACATTATGAACCACGGAAACTATCTGATCGAGTCGAGCGGAAAATATTGAGAAAAGTTGGAAAAAATCTCCAAATTTCTATCAGCAATAATTAACGGGATCTTGAGCAAGGAAGTGGTGTCAATGTTTTCTATGAAAAAATAAGAAAGCTTCTGAATACTTTTAAATGTTGAAAAGCGGATTTCATTAGCGCACATGCACCTGGAGAAGCCAGCAGGGTATTGGGATGACATATAAGGAGACATCTCTGACCCATTAGGTATAAATAATTGTACAGACAAGTCGATATAGCGATGCTCGTCTGTCTGTCTGTCTGTTTCTAACTAGTGTGTCAGTTCTAAAGCTTTTGTCATGAAACTTTGTTGCACGCAATACAGATGTCTGAACCGGCTGGATCCGTCTACGATAACATACAGCTGCCATAGTATTAATCGGTCAAAAAGTAGGTTCTTGAATGAAACACTTTTTTGATTATCGAGATATTTTGACCAAAGTCCTATCAATATCGAACGAATTTATCACATAGCTGCTATAGGAAAGATCGGTCGAAAATTAGGTTTTATTGATATTATGACCAAACTCGTTACTTATAGCTTTCACTATGTTTCCTACATTTACGCAAAATCTTTCTTACATGAGACTATTATATACATAGATTCCATAGAACTGATCGGATTAGAATTAAGTTGTATAAAAAAATAGTTTTTTTTTTCAAGATATCTTAACCATACTCGGCATTACCTATTTTCCTTGTGATTTTTAAATACGCGCAAACCACTATGAACATAATGAAAAGTTTGGATCTGCAAGAGTATTAAATCCTAGGCGTGTCGAAGATAGCCTTTCCTTCATGTTTTTTATACCCTGAACCCATTAAAAATGGGTATAAGGGTATATTGTATTTGTACAAAATCCAAATGTATGTAACAGGCAGAAGGAAGCATCTCTGAACCCATAAAGTATATGTATTCATGATCAGCACCAATAGTCGAGTCGATCTAGCCATGTCCGTCTATCTGCCTGTCCGTCTGTCCGTCTGTTTAGATGTAGGTGCTCCTAGAGCCTGCGCAAATTGAGTTTGTTTCCGATAATCGATAACTTACTCCGCTTGCAAGTAATCGATAAAAATCGATATCGATATCCTATTTTTTGGGCAATTATGGTAAATAATAAGAGCTAGAGACACCGAACTTGACATATAGCTTCTAAAATAGAATATATATATCCGTTTGATGTTGGAAGAAGAGGGTTCAGGGTATCCCCTAGTCAGAAGCTCCCGACTAGAACCTCTTACTTGTTTAGTTTTGTTTACTTATTAATTTACTATTACTACAACTATTAGTCTACAAGCCAGGGGGATCAAGCTAAACATACAAAACTTTCAAAAAGCAAAAGCAAAACTTACAAGACCGACAACCAATCAAATTTTATTTTGCAACTAATGAGTGTATCCATATAATATAATGATAAGGTAATAATCAACCCATACCGTCTCTGGTATAAATACATCGATATATTTCTTATTACTAATAATGAAATGCACTGAAAAGTAAGGAGAAAAGTATTTTCTTGTCAAGTGCTTATAATGTCGAGTTTGGCAAAAATATTTCAGTTCATCAATTAAGCTTAGCTTTAAGAGTATCTATGGTTATTCCCTTGGATAGGACCTAAGCTGCAGGGGGGATTGGATGCTAACACTTTTTTGAGGAAAAAAACAAAAGATTACTTGGCGACGATACAGAAGACTCTTAAATTCTTGGAAAAACAGGGCAAGGCTAATGAAAGTAAAAAAGGGGGAGACAATCATAGTGGCACCATTTCAAACAACATACGCCCAACCTTGGCTAAAAGTATTTCACCTTATAGCGCGCTGCCAATATCAAAAGAGCCCGAAACGGACCAATTGCAAGAGATGGCGAAATTATTAGAAAGCCCAGCGCGTAAAGCCAGGTTACAATTTGCCATATCCATACCTTAAAAAGATGTGGCTGATTTGTAGATTGCGCCAAAGCGCCTTGATGTCAGTCACATTGATACTCTAAGGCGCATTTTTTTTTGGAAATTATGGATACTCGATCGTGCAATGGTAACCTCGAAGATGAAAGAACCCTGTACGACGTGCCCGATGTTAAATGATGAATATTAGCTTAATAATTGCTAGCTGGTTCCTCTAAGAAGTGTACATACTGTTGTTGACCTGGAAGTGCGTTTTTGAAAAGAAGGTGACAGCATGGGAATAGCAAACCAGTTGGTGGCGCATAAAAATCTGCAGCATTCCAGCGCAGCAGACTTGGCCACAAGTAAAGGAATCAATGCGCGGCAGCAGCCATGTAATATTTCAGTTCTTTTTATGAGTTGCGCAACAAGATGATTTAATACGTGAACGTTCGAATGGCAGCCGCTTATGTGCCTAGTTGTAGCAGCGAAATGGCAAAGGATGAATAAAGGGAAGTAGTGCAGCAAATCCACAGCAATGAACCTGTAAGACACTCTGTTACAATTGCCGTGGGCTTGGTCATATGCTGAGGAAGTGCAGCCAGCAGAACAGGCCAAATGGGGTATGTCTTAAGTGCTGGAGTATGGATAATCAGTATGCACGGTGACCTTAGTGCAATACTAAAAACACAATATAGGCCACGAGAGACCTGATGAACTGAAAAACAGCGAATAAGCAACACCTATACCTGTATTAATGGAAAGAGATGCTTTAGAAAGTATTGAAGTAAAATTATCTGATTAAATAAAACACCATAAAATAAGTAAGAGGTTCTAGTCGGGAGCTCCCGACTAGGGGATACCCTGAACACTCTTCTTCCAACATCAAATGCCCATTTTTAATGGGTTCAGGGTATAAATATATATTTATCAGCACCTCTTTATTGAATAAAGAATGCAAATGTTTATTCGAACATTTCGTCTTTGTTCAGCATTGATATCTGTTGCTGAAAAATGTAAGGAACTAATTAGAAATCTGTCTGTATCAAGAATGTGATTTTACAGTGCCCCATAAATATAACATGCCTTTTAAAGTAACGGATACAACATTCTACTGCAATTCACGACGCTTGTCTTGTTATGAGAGACAAAGTGGCAGAAACTATAAAGGACTTTTAATAATAATTTATTCGCCTTAGTGAATCTTCTTATGTGTCCCATTTGGTACTTGTAAAAAG